GGGACTGCGCATTATGAGTACTCGTAGGAGTTGTTTAAGCGGCCTACAGGAAATGGTAGATGATCAGCGGAAGGAGTTAAAGTTCGGGTTGAGTCGGCTCACAAACTCCTGAATAGATGTTAAGACTTGCAATCTAGCAAACCGGGTTATGTTTAGGGGGAAAGGGAAAGACAGCGCATAGACACGAATCTCATGGAAGTGAATCACTCTCGTAGCTTGATCAGTGGGTTGCAAAGAAATATCGAGCAGGTTTCTTCTCCCTTGAAAATATTTCAGGAACCACAATGATCAACTGGCATCTGTAATGTTGTGTCTGCATTGTGTCCTGGCTCTTCTCTAAAGTTACGCGCTATCACAAGGCCAGCGTAGAGTTTGAAGTTAACTGGTTTGCAACCTTCCGTTCCTCCCCTCTTCCTAAGACACAACACAACCTCATCTCATCATGTATCTGGGCCACAAAATATCAATACTACTAAAGTTCAACTCTTGGGGATTATTGGACAAGTCGTGAGTGACGCGCTATCTGGACCCAATTATCACGGTCTCAAACGACTCGTTACCGCTGATCGCCAATGGGTGTCGATGGCACAGGCCTTCTTCTTTGATTTTTGAGCCTATGTTTTGTATTTCTTGTCTTGGCAATGCGGGTGCATTAACTGACGCTGTCCACCACGATACTTAGATAGCGTGGTCGGGATTCCTGATGCGCAGGATCTACCACCGGCTGTACGAAGATCTTTGATCAGCGCTATGAGGTCGACTGAGCAGTAGCTCCCATTGGCTCGAATCATCTCTGCTTGTGGTTGGATCCTTTCCGGCCTGGCGGGTCTGACTCAGCGGCGCTGGTTTGAGATGCACGAATAAGTCTTACGTTTCGACATAGAAGTAACAAGGAAATCGCTTAGGCTATATTCAGCATCGCTTCTAATGGTTGTAAATGAGTCATTATGATGAACGTATGTATGGTGGAGCATGTTGGAGAAGCTGCGACTGACTAGGCATCCATACCTAAGAGGTACGATCACATATATATCGAAAGTAGTCATCTTTGAGATCTGAATAGCTCAAATTCAAGAACACCATCACACCATGGCTCATAAAACGCCTGAATTCGATCAGCTCGTGCTGGAGAAGATTAAAGAATTCAACGTGCCAGGTCTCTCGCTTGCCGTCGTGCAGGGCGATGATATCTACTCAAAGGTAAGTAGGTTAGGTCAGAGCTAGCGAACCCTGAGTACTCATCCTTTCTAGGCATATGGCTATTCGAAACTACCCGACGTCGAGACAAATACAGATACCCTCTTTGACCTGGCAAGCACGTCCAAGAGTACCACTGCAGGAGCCGTCGCACTTCTTGTAGACGATGAGAAGTACACAGACGTACAATGGACAACACCTGTTTCGAAGATCCTTCCAGACGACTTCGTCCTTCCTGACCCATATCTTACAGAGCAGGTTACTATTGAAGACATATTAAGTCATCGTAGTGGCATTGCTACTCATGACGAATCGTACTTGAGTGCCCGCGCGAAACATCCAGACAATCCAAAGTCTTTGACCCGCAACCTGCGCAATCTTGAATTCGTCAAGCCCCTTCGCACCGAGCATGTATATTGTAATATCATGTTCAGCGTCGCGGTGCATCTTATCGAGACTGTCAGTGGAATGTCCTATACCGATTTTATAAGGACAAAGCTCTGGAAACCCCTCGGCATGACCAATACATTTCACGACATCCCCGACATTCAAGCCAGCAGCGACAAAGATCGCAGAACAACGTCATATCACTGGCACAGCAGATCTCAATCCTACGCTACAATACCTCACTATCCTCCAGCTCCAGAAGGGCATGGCGCAGGCTGTATCTTCAGCAGTGCAGGCGACTACGCGAAATGGATCCGCGCTCTCATCAAACGCGATCCGATTCTTTCCGAAGCGAGCCACAAGGCACTCGCCACGCCTCGCAGTTTTGACCTCCTAAGCAACGAGAAATGGTCTATACCCTTCAAAAGTGAAGAGCTTTACACCTTAGGCTTAAGCCTTACCAGCTATCGCGGACACAAATTGATCGGACATTACGGCTCAGTACCTGGATTCAAGGCCATGGTTTGCTTCATGCCCAAGTTCGACTGGGGACTTGTAATCTTCGGGAACTCGGATAGCGCAGCCTATGTCAATGACATTCTGAAGTTTACGCTACTAGACGAGGTTATCGGTGTAAGGAAGGAAGATCGCATCGACTGGGGTACATTCTTCAAGAACTTCCAATCTATGGATGATGCGGAAGAGGCGGAGAAACCTGAGTGGACGAAGGTCGATAGTGTAGAGCCGCTCGGTATTGTTGTGGGGAACATAGCTGGTAGCTATCACAACGTTGGGTACAAAGGGTTGGTGCTTGAGGTGAAGGATGGGAAGCTAGTAGCGAATTGCAGCGATCGATGCTTTCCTTACATGCTGGCATTTGAGCATCTAACGGGTAACATGTTTGCTGTAGAGATGCATGGTATCTGGGAAGGCAAACTGTACAGTACAATCCGAGGCGAGATCAGAACAGAGAACGGGCAGGTAACAGCAGTGGGTGTCGAGCTAGAACCGGACGTCAAAGGAGGCCTCATCTGGTTCGATCGGGTGTAGCATGAAATCACTATTTATTGCGTACGTTTCGAAAGTATTAGAATGCAGTGCCGCAGTGGAGGATGTGTAAGAGTGAAAGAGGCGGAGCCGACTCCTGGCGCTAAAGCCTCGCACTAGCCAGGTGGAGCAAGCGCTTGAGACCCCCGCCCATATCGTGAGACGGCTGGCCAACCAAGCGTTTCCCTCAGCGGCAATTCATCAATCGTTTAGTCAAATATGAGTGTATAAACATTGCCAAAGTCCGATCCGCACTCGCTGTGAGTTCATCGCGCAACCATTTCGCAGACTCAATCTGCTGACTTGTTTGTGTCGATAGCCCAACGCGTCAATACCGACGGCGCGCCATCATCAAGATGCTAGCAGATGGTAAGATCGACTCGCTAGATACGCATCTGGAGCAGTTCAAGCTCAATGATCAGAACAGACAAATCGATCTAACAGTAAGTCGATACCGACATGTTACCAACTCACGTCCGCTGACCTACCTAGAATCTCTTAAGAGAATATGGTCAGCTGCTTGACGAGTACAAAGACTTAAAGAAGGCATATGAAGAGAAAGGCAGAATCAATGTCGTAAAGCCAGCAGCTGCAGGTGCCTCTACCGTGACTGCAGCAATAAAGCCTCAAAATCCTTATGTCTTGGTGTTGATAGACGGTAACAACTACATCGTAAGTGCTAGCAGAGCTTCGTAATATTCACACTGACCGACTCTAGTTCAACTATGAATTCGTTCGCGAAAAGGAAGAAGGCGGAATGCGCGCCGCTCGTATGCTCAACGAAGCTATAGAGAAGTACCTACAGCAAAGCGTTCCACAAGCCCGTTCCGCCCGCATTCATGTCAAGATCTACGCGGACTTGACAAATCTATCTAAGCAGCTTGCAAGATCTAAAGTTATCGGTTTGGAAAAGCGATCGCTATCTCCGTTCTCTGCCGCGTTCACTCGGGCCATCAGCCTCTTCGACTTCATTGACGCTCTAGACGAAGAAGGCACTAAATTCAAGATTAGAGAACAGTTTAAAATTGCTACCGAGGATACAGCTTGCAGACACATCTTGTACGCTGCTTGTCATGATCCGGCGTATCTAGCTCAATTGTCGCCCTTCAGCGGCATACGCGACAAGATTACCCTTGTCCAAGGGGCTGGATGGAACTCAAAATTCCACGAGTTTGGCCTGGATGTCACCCAGTTTCCAACCATCTTCAAATGGTCCGAACCTTCCGCTGCTACACCAGCCAGCAAAGGCGCGTCAGCTACAGTACCTAAGCAAAAGGCAGTAGTAAGACCAATACTTAAGCCTGTGTCTCCAACTCCTCGCAAAGAATCATGGAGGCGAGATGGCTCTTTTAGTGTCTCAGACTCCGCATTTGGCGATCTATCGCCTACAGAAACCAATGGATTCGATGAACAAGACAGCGTTGGGTGGGAAGGACGATCCGCAAACACTCAAAACGTCAAGAACGGCTCCACCTCCAACCCACCAAAGGACTCTCAGCTCTGCAAGTACTTCCGAAAAGGCTTTTGTAGCTTTGGCGAAAAATGCCGCAACCAGCATGTCCCAAAAGGTCTCGACGGCGTAAACCGCTCGACCTCATCCCCACAACTCACAGACCGTGGCAACATCTCCGCCATCCTGCCACGAGCGCTAAGATCACACGGCTTCATCCCCCTGAATACATCCCACCAACGCATAGACGCATACCGTCCCTCACCCTCCGCATCAGCCTGGAAGATCTACAACGCACGTTTCGCAAAAGCCAAACCATGCAACACCTTTCACCTGCAGGGGAAATGCACTAATCATCCCTGTCTTTTTGACCACAACCCACTGGAGCGTGAAGCTAAGCAGGTGCTGGAGTATGTCTTGAGTTGTAATCCTTGTCCAAGGAAGGGGGCGTGTAGGAAGAAGGATTGCTTTTATGGCCATCTTTGTCAGAAGGATGGGTGTATGGGGCAGAGTGGTGGTGGTGGTGGTGGTGGTGGTGGTGGGGGACTGAAGGCGTGTCGGTTTAAGGCTGATTTGCATTATAAGGCGGAGGAGTGTAAGCTAGAGAGTTTGGTGCCGGCGATGGAGGATGAAGTGGCTGTGAAAGAAGTGGAGATTGGTGGGATGCAATTGATTGATGGGGAAGATTTTATGTGGTAATATTACTGGAAGTTGCGTGAACGGATGCGTTCATGATAACTTTGTCGTTCAGCAACCTCGACGCATTGCTATCAACCCTGTCAATCCATCTTAGTTAGGAATGTCCACGGTTACTGGCCATGAAACAATGATTCTGCTAAAGCAACATAGATCCTGTAGAGGAAATATTATCTACATGATCCACGACCACCGCTATATCGGCTGAGTAGCTCACAAAATCGTTCTAGAATGATCGAATATGCATATGAATTATGTCGATAATGACCTCATGTAAATGCCCTTCCTAATTGAACGCCACCGCTAAAACGCCAAACATGCATAAATAACAAAGACAGAAGGGGTATAAAACAACCTGAAGAGAGGCCCCAAATGCGACAACATAACTACAACAATCCGCGTACCCAGCTAGTACTTTCTTCCTCTCCGCCTCGGCAGCCCAGACTCCATGCCCACAGTTGCCGGTACGCTCGCGGTAGCGGGTATAACGACCTTGGGAGCAGGAAGTCCCTTCTTGGGCGTAGGATTGCTGATACCGGACCGATTTACATTCTCCTTGTCTCCAGCTTTCGCGGAAGATGGTGTCTGCGGTAGTACGACTTTCTTTGGCGCGGCAAGACGACTCTTGCGTTGAACTCCTGGCTGTACACCCACAGGTGTCACGTCAAGAGAGGGAAGTTTGGTATCGGATATACTGGAAGACAGACTGCTGTCGATGCCCGTAGAGGTTGAAGACGCAACGGGCATCTTCTTGACTTTGGTCGACTTCGCTTTAGGTGCTTGCTTGTCCAATGCTTCTTTTTCTTCTTGTACAGCCTCCGGGAGGAGATCTGAAGGCGCGAGCAGACCCTTGCCAGGCGTACCATTTGTTGTTCCGAGACCGCGTACTCTTCGTACCTTGGGTGTGGACGTTTTGCTGATCTTCTCCTTCTTCTTCTTTGGCTCAGGAACATCTGACATTCCCAGTTCGTCTGGAGTGGATAATGACTCTGCTTCAGCTAGAGCATTTGCGACAGTGTCTGGATTCTCCTGGTAGTACGCCAATGTCTCGTCCCAGCGTACGTTCTTACCGACGATGGGCTCCTTCTCCGCATCGTCAATAGGGGGCAGATTATATGAATCCATTGCAAGCTTCATCAACCGGACGGTAACGCAGAAAGCGCCTTGCTTGTTCTTGCGTGTGTTGTTTCGTGTCATGTCAGCCAGTACTTTTGCGTCGTCCTTCTTGAGTACGACTACTTCGTTACCGTCGGCACGACGGATGCTAATTTTGGGCGGTCCTGGGGCGGGCAGTCGTGAGATCTTCTTCCGTGAAGAGCGTCTCGCCGCTTGTGCGCTCTTCTCTTCTGCAGTTTCTGTCTCCTCTGCATCTGGAGTAGGCGATGGTAGAGTTTCAGCGGGCTTGTTTAGTGTTGGAATCTGCGATAGATCCAGCGTCAATTCAGTGTGCTGCTTGGAAGGCGAATTCGGATCCTTTTCTTCGAGCACCTTGCGGGGCGAGGCCAAGGCGTGGCGGACCACATCTGAGTCTCTCCGATTCTGTAACGACTCTCTCTTGTGTGTAGTAACGGCAGCCTTCTCAGCTTTGCTTGCGGCAGCACGGTTGAGGAAGTCCTTGAGGATGGCCGTATCATCGTCGATAGCAGCCGTCATGGTAACATCGTCGGGTCCAGACTCAGGGCGCGGCGGCGGCGGAGGGGAGTGCAGTCGACGCGGAGCAGGCGATTGCGGTTTGGTTGGTGTGAATGAAAACGTCAATCCATCAGCAATGTCTGTAGATGCGACAGGTGCGTCGGCCATATCAATCTCGGAAGGAGCCGCGTCTTTCTTGGGGCTCAGAGCATGCTCTTCAACGGCTGCTTGGTACTCTCGTTGTATGTTCAGCTGCAGAGAGGCTTCCGTAAAATCGTCTTCATGGGCGCTTGCTTCAGGAGAGCTAGACACGTCTTCCATTGTGTTGCCGTCGTCCTGGAATCCACCTGCCAGTGTGCCCAAGACCACTTCAGATAACTCAGCATCCTCGTCCTCATTGAGTTCTTCGTCAAGCACTGGTGTTGGTGAAGTGGCAGCATCATCTAATGGCAAAGCTGGATATTGAAGCTCTGTCGCAGCACCTGGTACCCCTGACTTTAGCTCCACCTCTTCAGGCGCTGTCTCGTTGCTTTTGCCGCTGACCACCTCTTGGGTCGGGGCCACAACTCCCTCTTCGATTCCCCTCGTGGAAACCTCCTCGGCATTAGTCTCCTCTATAACCTTATTCGTTTCTCCAGTGAGTACAGTATCCGTTGTCGTCACTTCCGTTTCCACTTCTGGGCTGTCGCTCAGGGGTAGCTCTGGGTATTCGACCTTCTCCGGCGATGCGTCTGAGGTATTCGACGTCTGCTTGAGTGGCGAACGGAACAGCTTCGCAATCGTCGCGTCTTCGGCAAATCCAGGGTCTTGTTGGTCTCCTACACCCTCGTGATCAGAAACTCCGGCCGTCGGCACCTCCGCTGCAAACGTAAAAGCCGATCCGTCGTCTTCTACAGGCTCCATCTGTTCATGTCCATCTGCGATTGTCTCAAAGCTGTCCTCGCCTTCCATGTTGTGAGTATCATCTTCTTCCTCTTCGCTGTGTGCTTCGTCGTTTGCGCTGATTACGGAGTCTCCAATTTGTGTCGCTCTTTTCCCTGCGATCAGTCAGCGAATGTTACCGTAGTGCACTTAGTGGTCGTACTTGGCAGAACGCTCTTCCTCCTGTCCCAGCGCGTCGCCTTGAACGCGCGCTTCTTGCCAAGTCTACTTGTGGACTTCTCCATAGCCTTGGGACTCATGTGCTGCCGCCTCTTCACAGGCCTTGAACGCGCATCTTGTTCCTCCTCATCTTCTGACTCCTGTGGTGTGTCGTCGGCACGCGCCCTGACATCAAATCTCCGCCAAATCTTCTTCTCCCTTCCTCCACCTACCCTCTTTACTTCCTGTCTTCGCTCCCATGCGCGCGGCACTTTGGAAACCGGGAGAGCACTCGGAGTGAGGAATGCAGTGTCGGTCTCGTTCCATGTGTTGTCGAATGTTTTGGTGGGCGTGGCGCGTTTGCGCGGAGTGAAAACCATGACGTCGGCGGTTAAATAGTACTAGTATAGAAATATCAATGGCGCGCAACCATGGGTCCTGTGTCGTGAGGCTCGTTAGTATCGTCGTGAGGGAGTGTCGTCTGTGTTGGCCGTCGGTCGCTAGGAAGGTACCATCGTAAACAAAGCCGGACAGGGATCACGATGGGGCAGGCACGCTAAGGAGATTGCCGCGGCGGAAACTTTTGAATCCACCGACTCGTCGACGACGACGACGCCTTCCAACCCACGAGCCCGCACAAGGCCAGCACTCACGTCGCATCCGGATCGCATCAATCTGTCAAAAAGCATCTACAAGATGGTACCGAAGCCTCAGGGAACCGCCGTTCAGTCGGCCACGCACCGACCCCTCCCGCCGCTACCAAAACTCCGCGTCCGACGACCGAACAAGCCAGAGGCAAACCCATGTCTGGGAGCAATGTCATCAGTTTTGGGTATGTCAGGATGGAACTGTGGAATGACGAAGTCGGGGTGTGATATTGGGCTGTGCCGTAGGGTGTGATGCGGGGCCGAGTGTTTGGGAAGACAACCACGAACATGGGCTGACATATGGCTACAGGATGCTGGGCGTCTTCCGGCTACAGTGTACAGGGCTGTGCGCAGCTCGAGCAGAAATTACGGCAATGTATGGATGCGCCAGTATGTTCATCGCCTCAGCAACCTCTGGACGTCTCTAACCTTTCATCCAGCGAGATCACAACCAGAAGAAGAACAACATCAACTACCACCTCTCGAGAATGTACCCTAAGATTGTCGGCCCCCACAAGCGGGACTAGATCACACGCCATTGTCTTTGTATATTATGTATACCCACGAAACAGCATCATGGGGGAGTTAAGTCGTTGGCATCATCGACAGGCGTTATGGTTACGATCGTTGTATATAAACGAATCTAGTAAGAGTGGGCATTTGCAAATGGGCCGACAATATCAAAGTGCAACAAGTCTCGACCAGCTCTGTTACGTACAGACATGTCAGAGGTAAGGGATGAATCAGGCCATGAGTTGGCCAGTAGCTGTCCGAGCGAAGACTGCAGGACAGCCCTTCACGCACGACCACGCATGCTTTGTCTGCTGGTTTCATGTTTCAGTACGGTCCATCATTCTAGACCAACTCCCACTCAAGGCCATAGCAACTATCAGTCTTGCAAACCACATCTGCTCAAGTAGGCAGTGCATACCACTCCCCACGTTCACCCACGTATGAGACTGCCTTTGTATGTTTCATCGCTCTCGCAGGCCGCCTGATAGGCCTGATGCTAAGTCTTCACTCCCTCACCAATAGCAACCCACAAAATCAGACGCAGCTGCCAAGGGATTACCGCAGTGTTATACCCCGCTCGTCATTGCGCATAATTATGCTGTGCATCGTTGACCGAAACACGCTCACTTGGGCTATATTTACCATCTTTGGCCAACGCCACATGCAGGCTTAGACCCACTCACTCTACGCCCCACCAGCACATCTACCAATGCGTCGCTCAGCCCTCCAGCCGACCAGATCCTACGCCAACCTTGTTCCGGCCGCATACTAGACCTTTTCCCAACCTCCCAGTGGCTCGTCACGCACATGTTTTGTCCAGGGCGGAAAATCTTAGGTGTGATTGGGCTGATGCGGGAAGAGAGATGAAGGATGTTATGCGAGACCTTTCCTGAAGCTACCCTGCCTTCCCTCATCGTCATCGCTAGAGACCGCTTTCGATTGGATCGCCAGGGACATGGCCCGATCGCATAGCCAGGGAAGCGATGGGAGCTTACCCTGCCGCAACACGTCTTGCCAGGGTGCTGGTTCCCCTCCCACATGCACTCAGCCGCGTAGAGGTGTTGTGAGCTTCTTATAGTCTGCTGTATTGCGTAGCGATCTTCGTTTTTGGTACCTCATACAACGCCAGCGTACGACTCTGTCGGTCGTCATCTTTGTGTATTCGCAAAACCTGGGTTGAGGATAGTGTGTTTACATAATTAGGAGCTGCACTCATGGAAAGACGATGGCGTTTACACTTCTTACCTTCGCCTTGTTAGGACCGGCTATGGCATACGCGGCTGCTTTCTCGATACCGGAACCTACACAATATACACCTACCATGGATGGATGGAGTCCAGCTCCTACGGCAGCACCACAGCTCCCTCTTGATCTTTCCAGGCGTCAACAAGGGAGTAATACTTGTGGATATGTCTCTGGTTCTGGCATCTCAGGTAGGGTTGTTTTGACTCTATTCTTCGACCTGTACTGACTCTCCATTAGTGAGCCCAGTAACATGTTCAAATCCCACAGATGTATGCGCGACAAACCGCGATTTCGGCATCCATGGCTGCTGTCAGTCCGGTCTGGGTACTTCCTGTACAATAGCCACAGCATGTATTGCCTCAACAGCCATGTCAGCATCCTGCACAAACGACGCCTGCTCTTCCGACGCTGCGATAGCAAAGTGCACTGCCAGCTCAGCACCAGCTTGCTACCAGTGGCAGTTCATCTACGATAGGATAGTCCTTACACAGTATGGCTGTGCAGCCAGCGCCTTTACAAGTACTGCGTACCATAGCCTGGGCATGAGCCTACCAACCAGTTCCGCAGCGAGGGAAACCGTTACCGCGACCGTCACCAAGGAATCCATCAGCACGCCGACCTCCTCCAGTTCATCCTCGTCTTCCTCGTCCACCTCGTCAAAACCCAGCTTAGGCGCTATCGTCGGCGGCACAATCGGCGCATGTCTCTTTGTCTCCTTCATCCTTTTCGTCGTCTTTCTTGCATGGCGCCGCAGGAAAGAAGCAGCGAAGGACAATCCGCGCTCTGCTGGTGCTTCCCATCCAACAAGCCAACAAACCATGGTGGAGTATAATCCCATGGGTTTCCTCTCTCCAGGCTTTTCGTCGTCAGGTTTGCCTTCACCGGCTAGTCCATATGGCGACAATAGCAAGACCTGGCAACAATATCTATCGAGAATGGGCAGGGGCAGGGACCAGGTGGATATTGTGGAGGTCGACGGGACATCTAGGGCAGTGGAGGCGCCTACGGCTGAAAAGTGAGCGTACATTTACTGTTTCATTCTCGTTTGCTTTGTTCATCGACTTGATGGCGGTATATTATTGTTTTTCATTCCAGACCTCGGTCTTGGAACATGTTTTACTTGTTCTTGTTTGTATTACAGCACGGTGTTGATGGGATTGATACCAAATTCTTGGGATATGCAGACACGATGAGACAGTACAGGGCATAGGCCCATCACACTATTGGTATATTCCTAGACTAGCACATACACGGCAGGACACCATGCCCTTTACGAATCCTATTTTGGCAGATATAGATCGCATATATTTGAAGACGCTACCCCAAAATCTATATTGACGCAAATGCACCTAGACCTATGTTTGAAGATGACATTTGGTCTGAATAAATTCATTCGCTTGCATTACTACACTATACACGCTATCAAGACTATGTTCGACTGAACGGCGAGTTAGGAACGTCGCCCTGCCGTGAGACGTCAAATCTACTGGAAGCGCTTCTCGGCGGCCTTCCAGTTGATGACGTTCCAGATGGCCTTGAAGTACTCGGCCTTGCGGTTCTGGTAGTCGAGGCTAGAAACGGTTAGTTCAACATGCTCTTATCAAAATCTCATCGTCTGACTTACTAGTAGGCGTGCTCCCAGGCGTCAACACCCAGAATAGGACGGAATTGACCGACGACGGGGTCCTGGTTGGCATACGTCCTGATCTGGATAGCTCCAGTCTGCGTGTCCTGGACCAACCACGCCCAGCCGCTGCCCTGAATACCCGCGAGCGCAGTGTTGAACTTCTCCTTGAAGGCATCGAGGCTGCCGTAGCTGTTGTTGATGGCAGCAGACAGCGCGCCAGAAGGAGGCTCACCACCACCCTGGTTGGTAGGCGCGAGGTTCTCCCAGAAGAGGCTGTGGTTGATGTGGCCGCCGCCGTGGAAGTTGATCAAAGGCTGCAGCGCAATCTGTGCCTTGATGTCTTCCTTTTGCTTGGCCTCGGCGATTTGCTCGCTGAAGTTGTTGAACGAGGTTACGTAGGTGTTGTGGTGGTTCTTGTGGTGCAGTTCCATGATCTTGCCGGAGATGGAGGGCTCAAGCGCGCCATAGTCGTCTGTCTTGTATTAGTATGCGATGCGTGTTTTTCAGATGATAGGACGCACATGGGAGATCGGGCAGGGTGGCCTTGCCACGAACGAATGTGGTGCCAGCGAGACCAGCACGGGAGGTGACGGGAGCGGCGGCCCTCGCAGCCGAGCGCAGGGCAGATGTGCGGAGGAGAGTGGTGTTCATGATGGCTTCAATTGATGTCTTGGATTCAATTGAGTGTTGGGTGTGTTATGGTGGTTAGAAGCTGGTGGAACTCTGGCTGGGGAAGCTCGGGATTTATTATGGCCTCGCATTTCGTCATACCAACATGCCGACCACCGAGCTTGGAGCTTCTACATAGCACAACCTCCACTCCTCACGGAAAGACGCCCCTCGGCCAATGAAAACGCCCCGGTACCGCGTTACGTTCGCATGATGTATGCTGAAGTCTCGCGAATAAACGCGCGTCTTCATGTGAGAATGTCCAGAGAAAATAGATGGCTTTCGCGACATGTTAACTCCCCGCGATAGCCCCGCGCGGCGTTTTCAGGAAGAACTAGTTACTCAAGACGTGGGTGGCAGCTGTGCAATTTTGACAATCGCGTGCCGGAAAAAAGACGCGCTTGATTCAAGTATCAGACATCTCACCCCATGTGAGGTGATTGAGGTTTGCCCTGCATTTAGGACATAGCCTCTACCAACGCGCTCCACCTAGGCTTCCTTCTTACAACTTACTTTAGCTACCCCGCCAACGTCATCATGGCGCCCGTTAATGTCGTTCACTTGCCCAACGGCCAGAACCTTACCGTCACGCCTGTCTTTGGAGGCCTCTTCTTCAAGTCGAGCGATGTCCACACGCATTCGCCATTTCCGCCTGGCTGGACAGTTGTGCTCAACTCCGAGGATGAATTGGCCACGGACGAACAAGAGCAGCAGCAGCAGGATGAGGAGGAGCTGTTCCCACCACGTCGCATTCACCGCTTCAAGAAACCCACCTTGAATGGAGACCACCTCTACATCTCGTCCATATCGAATCCCAGTAGCAGCGAGTTTAAGCCGGCTGCGTCGCCAACCCGCCAGATCGCCATGATGCTGTGGGCGACGCTGTACTGGTACTTTCACCAGCCCGAACCGACACTGCAGGTCACAAACGCGCGTTCCAAGAACACCGCCGATGCTGGCAAGCCCAAGGGCGAGTGGCGCATAAACATCAACAGAGAGGGTGTTTTCAAAGGCAAGGTCGTGCTGCCCAAGCTGGAGCGCATGGGTCTCATCGCCAGCGAAGATTCGACTGTAGGATGCGCACAAGAAGAGTCTTCTCCTGAAGGCTGGACACACATGTTCGTCAGTCGAAGGACGTTCTGGCAGCTTGACCCGAGAATATACTTGTTCACTCTGTCGCCATTAGCCAACACCAACTCGCCCTTCCCGTCGGGCTCACCATATCCCTCGAGACCGTCGTCCCCAGCGGGCGGATCTGATGCGAAGAAAGAACAACAGCTTGATCAAGTATCACCAGGTCTGTGGTCACCAACGGCGCCAGGCCCCTTCCACTCGAGCTCGCACCTCCCAACGTACTATCCACCTCCTCCTGCGCAATATGTCTTCACGAACAACACGCGACACCCCATACGCCCGAAACCGCCTCGACAGGGAGAGATACTGTACACAAGATACATACCCAGCGTTGGACAGTACCTGTCTTTCCGGGTAGCTTCCATCTCTTCGAAAGCGCTTCGACACCAGGGGCCAGTCTCCAGCCCAAACCGCAACAGCCAGATTGCAGCTTCTGACTCCGTCGCTCCCAACATGAACTCGATGAATGCGGGAATGTCCGACTCGGAATATCTACACAAATGGATGAACGATCCCCGTGTATCGCATTTTTGGGGCGAGGCAGGTCCACAGTCTCATCAAGAGGAATTTCTCAAGAACGGCCTACGATCAAAGAACTCGTTCCCAGTCATAGGATGTTGGGACGGGAAGCCGTTTGGCTACTTTGAGATATACTGGGTCAAGGAAGACAATCTTGGAAAGTACTTACCCATTGTTAGCGACTACGACCGAGGTTTCCACTGCTTGGTGGGCGAGCAGGAGTTTAGGGGCGCACACAGGGTAAAGATCTGGCTGAGCGCATTAGTGCACTATTGTTGGCTCGCGGATAACCGGACAGAGAGGGTCATGTTGGAGCCGAGGGTCGATAACGAAAAGTAAGTTTTGTGCCAACATTTGACGGATAGTGCTAACAGTTCAGACTTGCAAAGTACCTTCAAGAAGCTGGATTCTACAAAGAGCGCGAGATTAGCCTCCCGCACAAGCAGAGTAACTTGTTCAAGATCAACCGCGACGTGTGGAAAGGTCCAGCGCTGTGAGTCCGCGGAGACGGCAATAATTGTGGAGTCGCAGTTGGGCAGAGCCGCATGAACGGGTTACGGCTCTTGGTGGATATGGCTACGTGGAGTAGCGCAGAGTAAGCGCATCATGAGATACCAAGGTCTAGACTTCTATTCATGTTGAACCTGCCACCTACGTGGGGGAGTTCGTAGTCATTCTTTTGAGTGTATCCCGCGGGTCTCCTCGACCGGGGAAATACCCACCGAACGTTGGAGCGTGTATGAATGTGAAGCAATTCGGAGGTTCCTCGTAGCAAATCCCTCGTTACGAGTACCTACAATTCGGTTGCCCAGAACCCCAACAACGCCGCGGGAAAATTTCTGCTACCCCAAATCGCTATTTTATCGTCGATCGGTGTCTATCTCCCCCTCCGACATCACCCTAGAAATCGACCATTGACGTGCGTTTCCAAAGGTGCGATAGTACCTAAATGTGGGGTTTAGCGAGCTCCAAAACTTTTTGACTACACGTGAGGACGTCATTGGTCTTTGGGTAGAAAAAGCGCGCCACAACGCTGTGAATCATCTCACGAATTGACTTCACGATACCCCAATATCCTTCCATACAATTGTTCTTACCGTGATATCACACGTATTGTGGTTACGGCAAAGTTGAAAAATTACTCTGATACCAGATTCGGAAGACTATCGGACTAACCCACAAACGAACCGCCAAACGGTTACTCATCCACCACACCACCCCTCAAAACACCACACAGTCATGGCTACCAACAATAGCTCCCTGGACATTCAGTCCCGCATATCAGACATGAAGACCAAATCTGGCGCCACCATATTCGATGCGTACCAGACTTCCCTTACAGGCCGGTACTGTTCGGCGGAGATGTCGCAACTGTTCTCGCAGCGCAGCCGACACTCGATATGGCGCAAGCTATGGCTATTCCTCGCAGAGGCGGAGAAGGAGCTAGGAATTGAGAACATCAGTGACGAGGCGCTCACCCAGATGAGGGAGCACCTAACCGTTACGGATGATGATTTCGGAGTTGCCAAGGTCGAGGAGAAGAAGAGGAGACACGATGTTATGGCGCATGTACACGCCTATGGACAAGTTGCTCCTGCTGCAGCAGGTATCATCCATTACGGAGTAGGTTATCACGTGAAGCGGTAGAAAAGCCTCAAGAAACGGTACTAATTCCCACAGGCAACCAGCTGCTATGTAACGGATAATGCTGAACTCATTCTTATGCGCGATGGCCTGGATCTCCTCATCCCCAAGCTCGCAAAAGTCATCTCCAACCTCTCCGCCTTTGCCCTGAAATGGAAATCCGAGCCTACTCTTGCTTATACCCATCTCCAGCCCGCTCAGCTCATCACCGTAGGTAAGCGAGCGGCGCAATGGGCGCAAGACCTCCTTTTCGACCTTGAGGCCATAGAGCTCGTCCGCGAGACCCTACAGTTCCGTGGTGCGCAAGGAACGACCGGTACACAAGCCTCTTTCCTCGAGATCTTCAACGGCGACAGCAAAAAGTGCGACCAGCTCAACGAGCTGCTCTGCAAAAAGGCCGGATTTCCCTCCTGCTACGCCATCTCCACACAGACCTACACCCGCAAGGTCGACCTCATCATTGCAAACGCCATCTGCGGCCTCGGCGCCTCTGCGCAAAAGATCACAGGAGACATCCGCCACCTAGCCGCGTGGAAGGAACTCGAAGAGCCGTTTGAAAAGGACCAAATCGGCTCTTCCGCCATGGCATACAAGCGCAACCCCATGCGCTCAGAACGCATCTACGCGCTCAGCCGTGAGCTCATGTCCAAGCCGGCTTCGTTCGCAAACACGCTCTCAGACCAATGGATGGAGCGTTCCCTCGACGACTCGGCGATCCGCCGCATGGACATCCCCGAGATGTTCCTACTTGCCGACGCTATCTTGCTGTCTCTCGACAACGTAACATCCGGTCTGGTCGTCTACCCCAAGCGCGTCGACGCACGCGTGCAAGAGGAATTGCCCTTCATGATCACAGAGTCCATCATCATGCGTCTCGTTGCCAAGGGCGAATCGCGTCAGGAAGCACACGAGCAGATTCGCGTACTTTCCCACCAGGCCGGTGCGCAGGTCAAGAACGAGGGCAAATCAAATGATTTGGTTGATCGCATCAGGAACACAGAGTTCTTCAAGCCTATCTGGGGTGAGCTCGATACTATGCTTGACAGCAAGTTGTACACGGGACGGAGTGAGGAGATTGTCGAGAAGTTCTGTGGAAAGGGGGGTGTGCTTGAAGGCAAGCTGAAGAAATACCAGGATTACATCGAGGGCGCCAAGGTCAGTGAGTTGAATGTTTAGAGGGTTGTATATCGAAAAAAAGGGTCCGAGAGAAGAAGGGAGACTCTAGGCGTTCATTGGGAGTCAAGATAGATGAACGGAGTTGAGAGAAAAGTATTCAACTTACGAGTATCTGGTTAATAGTCCTACTCAATTCTGCAACAAAGCAATGAAAGTCGTGTATCATTCATCATCATCCCATATGTATGTGCCCTCGAAATTACTAAAATATGCTAATTCTATGCCCAGAACGCTGAATGCCACGCAAATACTGCTAAAATGCCCTTTCCAAGAAAAAAAAAGAACGCGTTACGATGCCGTGCGAACGAGATGCCAGGCGCCGAAAGGATACGCTACAATGCTAATATCTAATTCCTTGCATCCACCGATCAATCTGATCTCGCTGTCTGGGATCCATAGGCGGGCCCATCATGCCCCCCTGCGTCATACCCATGTTCATGCCATTCATGCCCATGGGCATCTGCATGCCGCCCATCTGCATGCCATTCATCTGCATTGGCATCTGCATGCCCATGCTGTTCATTTGCATGGGCATACCCATCATGGGGTTTTGTTGCATCATGCCGGGCTGCTGCATGCCCATTTGCATACCCATCGGCCCCATCTGGCCCATCATGGGTTGTTGCATACCATTCATCTGCATAGGCATCTGCATACCCATCATACCTTGCTGAGGCATGGTACTCATTCTCTGCTGTCCGTTCATCATCATGGGGTTCTGGGCGTTCTTGTAGGCTTGGATCTTCTGACCGAGGGGGATGTCATCGTCGTCCTTTTGGTTATTTCCCACGCCCTTGAGCAGGGGGTCCATGGAGCCATAGCTGCTGGCGCGCATGGTGGCTGTGAGACGTTGTTGTTTCTTACGCTCTTGATCGAGGACATTTTGATGCAAAAGACTTCCTTGGGGAAGGTGAGAGACAAGCTGCTCATTCGAGACCTTGCGAGCTTGGTTGTGAGGGTCGATGGGGTTGGCGGAGAGGATGTCTGCGAGACTGTTGGTGGAAGCGAGACCAGGACGGTGGGCGCCAGGTTGCGGAGTCTGTTCTCCTCGGGCGGCAGCTTCGGCTTGGAGACGAGCACGGCGTTGGCCAAGTGTCTCTTCCTCTTCCTCTTCCTCGGCGGGAGCAGGTGCAGCAGGTGCATCTTTAGACTGTTCTTGGCCAGTCGCCTCTGGTGCACCAAATTTGCTCATCATCTCAGAGGCAAAGTCATCACTTACTGTGCTCTTCCGCACGTCACCGAGCGCTGTCTCGCGTTCTTTCTTTTCCTTGATGCGACGCATACGATCAGCCAGGGACTCGCCCGGCTCCTCATCTGAGTCTGGTTCGGGAGTTGTGATTTGAGGGATGTTGATCTGGCTGGTAGACGCTCCTAGGTATTGAGTACGACGCTGATTGGGATCGCCACCAAGCAGCCTGTTACGGCGACTGCTAAGGGGCTCGCGATCCTCCAACTCTCGCTGCTCGATAAGACCCATGCTCTTTTGTCGCATTTGTGGAGGCGCAGTCTGCTTGTAGAGAACACCAAGCGGCACATCGTCGTCAGAATCCTCCTCCGCGGGTGCCTCCCAGGCCAAATTGACTTTCTTGCGGATTCGCCGTTGCTTTTCCGCCTCAGCCACGTCGTTCATCTGCAGCAGAGTTTGACGGCCATCGATCAGCCCCTGCTCCATCAATGTCACGTAGTTCATCTTCCTAGTCTGTTGTTTCGCTTTGCGTATCTGGAGCTCAGCGAGAAGCGTGGTCGGCGCGCCGTACTGCGGTTCTGGCTCGCCCTCCTCTTCACTCGATTCTTCTTCTTCATAGGCGTCCTCCGGATGTCCTTCCTCGAATGAGGGCCGCGAGGCATCAGGATCATGCCCGGCCGGTCCTCGTGCATCCTCGTCACGCTCCTCCAACTGATCGGCGAGGCTCATCCGACTCTCGCTTGCCTTCACAAGCAGCAGGTTCATATCAGCTGAGCTATTCCGCTTCTTCAGCTTCCTTAGACGTTCGCCTTTTGCATTGTGATCAGTATCCAGGATATTGAATGAGCTCCGTCTTTGTGTCTGTTGCAGTGTTGGTGGAACTTCAGGTAATTTCGAACTTTTCCGTTTGTGCTCTGGCCCGTACACTTCATTGCCTACATGTCCAGCGAATGGATGGTCGGTAAAGGCAGATACTGGAGCATTAGCGGAAGCATCCAGGATGCTCTCAAGCGTGTCTTCTGCAGACTCTCCCTTGACGGCAAACTCCTGGGCGGGGGCAGCTCGATTATCAAAGTAAGCGCTTGCTCGTAATTGTGGGGGGAGGGCCATGAGACTTTGTCGACTCTTCTTGTGGGGCTTCGCGTCCATGAGATTGTCACCGAGCAGCGGCATTGACTTCCTATGCTCTGTCTGCATGGTTTCCAACAGCTGTGTCCGGCGTTTAGCTTGCTGATTCATGTTAGGCAATTGCGATAGACGCTTTGGCAGGTTGAGCATCTTTGGCACAGGGGCGGGATAGAAAACCATGCCGTCTTCTGGTGGCGGGGCGCCTATCGAGTGAAGGCTCGGGTTCTGTCTATGCATAAAAGACTGGGGGTTCGACGAATGCCGGCTGTGGGCATAACTACTCTGCCGACTATGATGCGACGGCTCTGGCTCCTCCTCGACAGTGTCTGGACAGTGGACGCCGTCAAAGTCCTGCCATAGTGTACGTGCTTGGTGTGTGGTATCGGTCGAGGCTGCTGTCGGGGGCCGGTCTGGGAGATGGCGGTGGTCTGCATACTGGTAATGTGTGTCGTCGTGTGTGAGCTCGTCGGGGTCAGGTCGCCCCAACTGGATACTATTGCGCAGCTCTTCTGGCAAACCATTCGCAACCTCATCGAATATGCGTGTAAAGGACGAGACCTTTCGCTGTGGGGGAGAAGCAGAGGAGCCTTGGTCACCTTGTTCATTTTGGTGTTGGTATGATTCCTCCTCGACCTCCTCGGGGTGTACGATCTGCCCAAGACGCGAAGCCTTTGATTCCGAACGTTGGCGCTGGACTGAGTTGGAGGGTTTCGGCCAGGGTCCCGTGCCGGAGCGCAGCGAACCGGCGGGCGAGGTTATGTAACCGCCCGGAGAGTATCCACCCCATCGTGCATTTCCATTGAGGTCTACAATTGAATTGGCGTGCGAGCTGATCGAAACGCCGCGACTGCGGGTACTGGCCTGGCGGGTGGGCTCGTCGGGAGAGTGTATGTCGCGCAATGACGAGCGTCGACTGTCAGTCAGCTTTAGTTCTGAATACGTCTTTCGTATCTCCTCCTGCAGGTCTGAGCCGGCCTCGCTCATGCGTTCGGCATGTTCTTCCAGGCGATTGATGTTGCCGACATACGCCCCTTGTAACGACTGCAGATCTGGAACCGGATGACGGAGGTCGACGTCAGCCTTGGGGGAGGTCATTACTACCGAAGCAAGCAGCAGGAAGTGTGCCGCAGAGGTGAGAGAGTCAACTCAACTGCGGTACGACTACAGTAAAGGAGACTTTTGGCGTGTTTGTTGCACCGAACCGGACATGGGTCCAAGGGTGATCGACCCCGATCCATTCCAAGAATAGCACGCAGCACGTTACCACGGTACGGCAGGAGCGACCTAGATCTAACGGTTCTTGGCGCTGTCGCCCAGAGGCAGAATTCCAGAACATTGTTTCCGCTGCACCAAGACACTCACTCCGCCTCCCACGACAACCAGGCGCATTCACGTCTTTCCTGTCTCGAATTCATGCGACACCGATTGCGACGCCCATCGCGACACCGATACTACGACGCGACATCTTGCGCGCCCGCGAACCGCTACTCAGAATCTGCAGCTACTGCGTGCACATAGCTCGTATACGCATCTTTGCCCGTATTCACAACCCTCCCTATCGGCGTCATGGACGAAGGAGGCAAGCGAAAACACAGCTTCAGGCAGCAGCCGAACAAGAGGGCCAAGGCCGAGGATGGCAGCGCACTCAAATCAGGCTTTGGTGCGAAGATGCTGGCCAAGATGGGTTACAAGGGTGAGGGAGGTCTAGGAAAAGAGGGAGGCGGTATCTCGGAGCCTATCCAGGTCGTCAACCGCGGCACCAAGGGCGGTATCGGTATAGTAGCAGAGAAGAGCGAGCAGCAACGGCGGGAGGAGCGTCGCAAGGCCGAAGCAAACGGAGAGAAGTATGTCGACACTTCAGAAGAGGAGCGTGAGGAGAGGAAGAAGAAGAAGGCCAAGGCACGGGGCGAGACGCGAGCATCAGCTCCTCGACCGAAGAAGACTGTTTTCGAGCTCGAAGCAGCTGGCATGCATGTACCGCTTGCACTGCAGTCCATTATCGACGCGACGACCGGCACGTCCACTCCAACTTCAGGCGTGTCCCTGCGCGGCCCTGACATCGTCCCATTCGAAAACTCTCTGCAAGCACGCGTACGCAGAGACTTGAACAGTTTTTCCGAAGCATTCGAACAGCTGCAGGTCGAGTCGCAGGCCATTCCCCCACAGGAATATGCGCTTCAGAAGGAGCTGGAAGCGCTCGAAAAGCATATGGACGAGTTGGAGGATCTACAAGCACGCATCGAATCTCTGCGTACAGGCACGTTTGATGTTGTCTGCGAAGGGCTGAAGAATCTGCGCGCTGCCTACCCATCGAAGCCGCTACACCGCGAATCGATCGCCGTTATACATCCACACTTCTCCAAAGCTATCGCGTCCTGGGAGCCACTTGAGGATGCGTTGGAGGGCATGGCCGCGGCTTTCTCAGAAATGGCAAATATCATACAGCCCAGAAGTAGGAGAGTTGCTTCTCAAGCTTATACCCACCCTTCAGAAGCACTGGCCAGCCGCAACTCAGCCGACGAAGAGGATACGATAAAGCGTGGCACTACGTCGTCATATGAGTCCATGATGCTCAAATACTGGCTACCAGCAGTAAGCTCCGCTGTAACACAGTGGGATGTCAAGAACCCACAGCCCATGGTGCATTTAGTCGAAGTCTGGAAGCCAGTCTTACCACCATTCATTGCCAAGCGGGTGCTGGAACAAATCACACAAAAGCTTTCCACCTCAATTCAGGAGTGGAATCCTCGAAAGTTCAAGAGAAGCCCACACACATGGGTTGTGGAATGGCTGCCTTTCCTCAAGCCAACTGATCTAGACCCCAAGGGATCAGGTTTAGTTGCTGAAATCAAACGCAAGATCCGACATGCACTACAGTCCATCGACCTCTCCAAAGGCCCGTTGCCAGGGATGGACCAGTGGAGGAGAGTGTTTGGAAAGGGCGAGTTTGACCATCTACTTACCTCCCATCTAGTACCGCGTTTGGCGACCTACCTACGAGACAATTTTGACATCAACCCCGCTGAACAAGATCTGGCACCACTCGAGGCCGTTTTCGCTTGGAGAGGACTGATATCAAATGAAGTCATTGGAGAACTATTAAAAGCACAGTTCTTCCCCAAGTTTCTCGAAATCGTCCACCAATGGCTCACGAGTCCCGAAGTTGTCTTTGAAGAGGTCCAGGCGTGGCTTGCGTGGTGGCGGAACGAGATCTTGCAGGACGAAATCAACAACCTGCCTTCCGTGGCCTCGTCCTGGAATGAAGCATACTCGCTCATCGGTACCGCACGGGATCTTGGCGACGCAAGATTGACACATCTACCAGCGCCTCACGTCGAGAGTACGAGAGTCTCCCCAGAACCATCCCAGTTCTCCAAGTCCGTTAATAAGGAACCACCTCGTCCTGCGCCACAAGTCGAGGAGACAACATTCAAGGATATGGTAGAGGAATTCTGCGCTGAAGAGAACCTGCTGTTGATACCACTTCGTGAAGCTCACGACCAGACTGGTTTGCCCCTTTTCCGCATCACCGCAAGCGCGACTGGACGAGGAGGCGCAGTGGCGTATCTCAAGGGCGATGTTCTGTGGGTGCAGAACAAGAAAGATAAGACCATGTGGGAGCCTACCGGTTTGGATGAAGCCCTCACCGCTAAGGCAGAGGGCAAGTGATTACCATCAACTGCAGAATGCATGTCTGCATATCCCACACCAAGCGGGTCTCGCTTCGAAAGGGTAAGCTCAACAACCTCTCTTGAGCAGATATGTTTGCTAGCATTCGCTAATCCAGCATCGGTACGATGCATCCTTAGGTAGTGATAGTGATGTCGACCGCAGGGCTATAATGAAGCCACATTATCTCTCCATCAGCGTCTCCTGACGCACCGCAAGGCATTCCAAAAGTGCCGAAAGTATGCATGAATCGTGAAGTAAGAGGAGTAACGGCCAATGCGAATTGCCGTCACAACACATGAGGGTGATGCGGCCTAATAATCGGTCCTTGCTGCAAGCCTAGTCTGTGATTTCCATTGCATTACGACGATTATCGCGTAGAATTTGCGATCCGACTCGTTACTCCAAGTAGTTTGTTCGGCATATAATCCTTGGAGTGGCTAATATACTACTTCTCTTAGTGGCTTCGTGATTACTAGTGTGATGAGGTGACTGTGCGCTGATTCGCATCATCGGGCGCTTAGAATAGACTTTACTGACGAATGGGAATGCGGGATTGGGTGCGCATTTTCTGGGCTGCAGGGGCCGCACTATTATGCATGCGGACCGTCTCTTCCCGCTGACTGTGCCTCGAGTTGGCAGATGGTGCCTGTCCGGAAAGTTGGTAGTCGTGAAGCAGTCGAGTGGCGCGGCAAACATGTTTCCAACTGTTTCCACATAGTGGCAACGCCCATCGCGACATCAATTGCCTTCACACAGTACATGGCGGCCCCGAATATTTGTTCAGCGCGATAGCCTCGAACTATGTCTGGACGTTCAGGTATTGCCGTCGTCCCACCTGGGTCTAGTCTACTCAGAGCGACCCCGCTCAGCGGCTGAGAGACTTCACCCACTGGACGCCCCAATGTAGCTCAAGAAACAGCACAGCCAATAAGATCGCGTATGCAGCATCCCAAGCCATCACACCCAGTCGTCCTTTCCTTGCATCCGACCACTTGCAGACCGCCGATCAAAGTACTTACCCGCTTCCCATCCCTCTTCAAATCACCATGTCGCCTCTGTTACACTCTGCACTTCACCCGGTTCCTCTCAGTCGGGAAGCGAATGCATTTGCGGCCCTAGATCGACGTTGTACCCTGGACGAGTGCGAGGAAAGATAGACCGCCCCTCCCATTTCCTATTTCTTACTTATATTTCCTTGAGTGTCAAGCCCAGGAAACGATGCTGGAGAGAGCGCTTCCTCCAGCACTCATATCTCTGCTTCTTGTTGCATCTGGTGTTTCTGCTACACCCTACAACTTCCTCGACAACTATCGCGACCCCACACCAGCGCCTGACGAGGGACCTCCTGCCTCATATCACGCTGTCCGAGACAAGAACGTTTTACCGTACGAGATTTGCGGTGTTGTTGGCGGTTACGTCTTTACAGTACTTATTTGGGGAGTACTTCTCCTCACTGTTGGTAGAAAGATGAGACGAAAAGCACTGGATCCGCCTATGCAGTTGGAGCTGGAGCTCCAGGACGGCTACAAATCAACAAGACCAACTATCAACACCGGTGGTCTAGCATCGCCGCCACTATCTGCACGACTGTGGAGGAAGTTCAAGAAGACTGACTCGGCTGTCCAGAGTCCTGTGGTTCAATCGCCGAGTTCTTTTGATCAAAAGGTGCTTGATGCCCATAGGGATCAAGCTCAAGCTGACATGGAGCGTCTCTACGCCGCTGTCATGGACTTTGACGCGCAGAAGCACGCATCCAAGATCAGTGTAGATGAAGAGGAGCCAGTTGCCCAACCCACGGAGCGAAGAAGACCATCAGCGCTGTCCATCGGACGACCCCAAGACACCGCCGACTCCCCAATCTCGCCTGTCAAAGCCATCTACCCACCTGGCTACTCAGACAGACCCCCAACAGCACCCTACACCGACCGCCCCCGTTCGAATAACCGGGAGCACCTCCGCGCAGAACCCCACGCACCTCCAAGCCCACGCAGCATCTTGTCCAAACGCTCGCAAAATTCCACCAACACCACGACAGGAGGCAAGAACGCGCGATTCAACCTAAAGAACCTACGCATCTCAGGCCCAATAACGAAATACCCTGGTGCGGATTCCGACGACGAAGCACGCACACCACTCTCCCCACGTTTCTACGCCAACCCCGGCGCACCCCCTTCGCCTCCTACTCAGACCAACTCTCCAAGCTCGCCATTGAACTACAACGACGAGTCCCTCGACCGCGTCCAGCCTCTCCCCCGCCCAGCACCGCAACGACTAGGTTCCAAAGACCTACCTCTCGCCCAACCCCCCACCTCGCAACTTCGCGCCCAAAATGCAAACGCCAGTCTCCCACTTCGCTCTTTTGCCTCCCCGCTCGCTTCCCCTGGTATCCAAACTACCGTCCTCGACCGACGTGTCGAGAAACTTGCACTAGGTACTCCCAAAACAGGAGTGCCCTTCACGCCGTATAGTCCGTATATGCCTTTTACGCCTATCACGCCTGTGACGCCGCATTTGACGACGAGGAAGGATCGCAAGATGGAGAAGAAGATGGAGAGGAAAGGGAGGAAGGCGGGAGATGTGCTTGTGCAGAGTCCAAAGGAGATTTTTGGGGATGCTTATTAGAAGAGAGAAGGGAGGGAGAATGTGTATATGATGGATGGTATAGGCATTACATTTTGCATTTGAATCAGCGATTTTACCTTTTTTTTTTTTTGTTTAAACGCCGCCGGTAGGCTGGTTGATGATCTTTCCCTAGGCTTATGAGGATCGGGGGTTGCATGTGTGGTTCGCATTCTACGTTTATATTATGGTTATGTATCTTTATCTGGTTAGAAATCGAACAACTGAGACGTTACAATCTACACGTCGTTACCTTTCAATTTCTGTTTAGACAGGAGTACGTCGTTGAACGCGCGTCCTAGTACTCCTAAAATAGAGTCAATACTGTTACCTAGTCACCAAGATCGAGACTTGACATTAATAAACTAACGTACGGTACCCGTACACATAGGACACGCATAAGACGACACTGGGAATACAGGCATGCGAAGAAAACTGGTCATCACCAGCAACTCTCACATTAACGAAGTTATATTTTTCTTCTGCGCCAGAATGCATGGCCAATCTAATTTTCCCTTCTCTCCCCTCAGGGCCCCCCAACGTTCCCCCTAATTTCCCTCCCTACTCTTCCAGTCCACATACTCTTCAATCCCTCTCAAGAATAAAAAAACATGGATAGACAAATACACACATGAACGTGCGACGCCGGAAATACTATGCCCAATCTAACGCGCCTTCCAAACACAAACCTACACAGAAAGAAGAAGGGTAGTAGTGAAAGCAGTAACCACCCTTTGTCCGGAATATACCGGCGAAATGTATCGAAATGAAAGAAGTTTGCTACCAAAGTCGCTAAATGCCAATAGTCTGAGCCAACAATATCGCTTGTGATAGATCTTTGTAATGCCATACCTTGTAGAGTGAAATCCGTACTTGTAGAGGAAATCCGTACTTTGGAGGAGAAAACAAAGGAAAAATTGGGAGCTGGTGATTTGAATCTGGATTTGAATCTGGATCGGATGATGGTGACACAAGGAAAGGAGACGCCAGAACGCCGTACGCTGGATGATGAGGCTGGATGTATGAGCAGCACTTGGTCGAGTATAAAGTCGCATGTACATGGACGTATCGTCGGTTGGTATTGAGATAGCACACGGAGGCGCGCTATCTGTACCCAACCATGACCTTTCTTTCAAGACGTTTTTCAAAAGTTGGCCAATCCGTTCTTCGAATGACGTTTGCTAAAGCGCTTCCTACCCTTGATCGAGTCAGTATCGCCTTGATCTTTGCGGAGGTGGCCATGCCGCGAGGCGGGGATGTTGACGCCCTCGAGGGCGGAGTCTCCTCCCAACGTACTGGTCGGGGTAGTGTGATTTGAAACGAGCTCGTTCAAACCTACGTCGGCAGAGTACGAGTTGGTCATGCTTTGCGCAAAGGCGTAGTCTCGTGCTTGTTCGATGCTGTCGAGCCATTCTTGGCTGGAGTACTTGCTGCCATCGGGGTCGCTCGTAGTACTTTTGGGGTCTTCGAAGACGTACTGCTTCTCTTTCTGGACGATATTAGTATCATTCATTCAGGAACGGATAATTTCAACGTACCGTCTCTACGAGCCAGAACGTTAGGCCCTTGGAATCTTGGAATGACCTCCACGCGCAACCCGCTGAGAGCAGCGATATTTCTTCCTTCAACTTCTTGTCATTCGTGCCTGCTGCGCACATCAGTACGCGTGCATTGGACGTTATCATTACAAGTCGTTGTCGCTTCTTGACCGTGTTGCCGCCGAAGAAGCGCGAGAACTTCTTAGGTTGCTCCACCGGCTCTTCCTTTCCGCCAACAGGGTGTCCAGGGGCGTGTTGTGTGACAAACATGTTTCCAAGCTTCAATATCCGCTCGTCTCGCTTTGTGAGCACCGGCGACCAATCAATGTCGAGTTGGGAGGGAGGGGGTAGTTCGGTGATAAGGCGCGGCTTCGGTCGTGCTTGGGGTTGGTTGGGTGCTGCTGCTGCGGGTGTCGAAGGACCTGGTTGTGTTATTGACGTTTCCATAACAGTGCCTGAATTCCTACCATTCAGCTTGATGGGCTCCTGCGCGGGCGGGCTGTAGGCTTTCAACCGTGGGGCCTTTTGTTTCCATAGGCCCTTGCCCCATTGCATCCCTTCAAAGAAGGGGTGGTTCTTGATATGCTCCATGGGCAGTCGTGTTAACGGATCTAGGACCAAGAGTCGCTCAACCAGGTCCTTTGCAAGTGGAGGGAAACCATCTGGAAATGTGTACTCCAGGCCCACAATCTTCTGGAATGTCATATACTCGTTCGCAGCCTTGAACGGTGGCCGTCCTGCGAGCAGCTGGTAGATAATGCATCCGAATGCCCACAGGTCGCTGGCTTTGCATGCGTTCTTGTCTGTGAGTAGTTCTGGCGAGACGTACTCGGCTGTTCCGACGAAAGATTGCGCGCGATCCGACTGTGCCCCTTCCAATGGATCGCCCGATGTCGATCCAAGGCCATTTGACTTTTGCTCGAGTATCTTTGCTGTTCCAAAATCAGTAATTTTGACGTGCATGGCATCGTCGAGCAGGACGTTCTCTGGTTTCAAATCTCGATGTATGACACCTTTGTTGTGCATGTAGTCGATGGCGTCGAGTATTTGCGCACCGTAGAAGCGTGTGCACTCGACGTCGAAGGTGCCCATCTTCTTAAGGAAGCCTAGGAGTTCTCCGCCCGCCGCCAGATCCAGCACAAAGTATAGCGAGCGCTCGTCTTGGAAGGTGTAGTAGAGTCGGACAATGCCGGGATGTTCCGTCAGTCGGTTCAGAGTGTCTTTCTCGATGTTTACGTATTTGACCTTCTTCTCCTTGATGATGTGGCGCTTGTCGAGCACCTTGATCGCGTACTCGCGCAGTGTCTGGCGGTCGGTAGCGGCCAGTACTGTACTATAGGAGCCCTCGCCCAGTGTTCTGCCAAAGTTGAAGTCCTTGACGCCTTTCTTCACCACGCGCGTTATGGGCCGCCCGTTCTGATCCAGATCCTGGCGGGTGCTTACAGCCGCGCCCTTTTCTTTCCACTCCTCGCTGCTCGATAGCGGGCCGCCTTCGATGCTGTAGGGTGAGCTCGATAGATTGGCTACTCCGGCATCCATGGGTATCCGCCGTGAGCTCCTCCGGGGCGGAAGGGGGCCGTTCATGGCGGCCATCTGGGCGGACTGACGGTAGGGGTCGCGTCTGCTAGCCTCCCTCACTGGCATGGCTCCGGGCGCGACACGCGAACTGGCGGTCCGGCGCATGTCTCCCTGAATTGCATCGTCGTTGTATCTGTAGGTGCCAGGGGCAGCGGTGGAAGAGGTCGAGAGGTTGGGGTGCTGGTACATGCTCGTAGAGATTGGGCGCTCTCGCATGCCTGCGGGCTGCGACGTCGGGGCCTGACTGCGCTGCTGTTGGAGCAATGGGGCAGCAGCATACGGGGGATACGAGGGCTGCTGGTGCTGGGGCTGGTGTTGCAGGGGCATGGACTGGCGGTGGGAGAGGCGCGGCGAGTGAGATGATATCGACGAAGTCTCAGCCAGGGGGGAGGGGAAGGCAGCCGGGGAGCCAGAGGGGGAGCTCTGGTAGACATTGTCTCTGGGGTGGAGCGAGGCGTTGTCTTCTGTGTAGGAATAGTGCGAGTTGGAATACGTGGGGTGGAGATCGGGGCGGTCCTGGGTCACGGTATTCGACGACGAGGCGCGCGTCGGCGAGGGCGGTGATGGGGGTGACGTCGTGTCGTCGTGGTTGCTGTGCTGTGTGGGCGGCGGCGAGTCGTCCTCGTCTGGGTTGGCGATGCGCAGTCCGCCGAGCGTCTGCGACAGACTCAGGTCGCCATTCATCGTGGCGGCCACTGGGACTGGGCAGCAGCACTGGCGGTAACGGGTGAGAGATAGTCGGTGTCTGAAGCTAAGGCACCGGCCGCAGCGCGTCAAAGTAGCCTCTTCTAGCGTGCGGAATACGAGCGTGGAACGAAGGCATGGCAGGGGCCCAGAGGCCAGGTGGTGGGCGGGAAAAGAACTATTCGCGGATGTGGATATAATGTGCCCGTATGCTCCAGCCTGTTGGTGGTGATGCCATAGGCTCGGCGTTGTCAGCATTCTTGCCGACAGCTCAACAACACCACGACCCGACCACGACCACGACCACGACCACGACCACGACCACGACCACGATCACAACTACAACCACAACCACAACTACAACCACAACCACAACCAACATGTCGCGATACCAATCACACGTACTAGGCAAAAAGCGCGTCCATTTCAAGAACAATGGATGCAGCAGTGACAACAATGATACCGACGATGATTTCTCGTCTGATTCGCTACCACCCTGCTTTCTTACATCACCAGCTTCAATCGTGGTAGCGGCGCCTTCACGTGGCAGCAAGTCGTGCCCTCGCACACTCGTAATGAACAGTCATGGGCACACAGTACGGGTAATTTTTGAATATGTCTCTGGACCTGGAAGGTGCCCTTGACCACTCCTTTCATCTTTCACCACCATTAATTCGCTATCGTCGCTACCATCAACGCGCAATGAGTCTTCCTTCTCGAGACAGGCATCCTTTTGGATCAATCCCTTCTGAAAATACTCCTCCAGAATCTGTTCCTTCTAGAACAAGTCCATCTACATCTACTCTTTCTGGAGATTTCTATCTTGTACACGCTGCTGGTAGATATCCTCCTTCCAGATCCACCCCTTCTGGATCTGTTCCTTCTAGATCGACTGCTGCTAGTTCTGCCCCTTCTGGAAATAGAGTTGAAAGCTACAATGATAGACGGTAGGCTCAGCTCCTGTTACTCTACATTAATGTCCCTGTCTACTCACCCGTTTTGGCCCTAATATCCCTTCAGCCTTCAATCGCTCAGACATTTAGACAGAATGTTACGTCTCAGAACATCAGAACTTACCTTGATACCCGATGACATCGACGAGACCTTCCGTCGCATGGCCCTCAGGCAGAGAACAAGACTGAGAACAGGTCTGCCTCCTGGCCGTCCAGCACAACCAGGACGACCCATCCTCAGACCTGGTCCCCAGAGATTGACTCGAGATGCTGTTACTGCTCTTGGGTCTATTCCCATACTGCAGCCACAGGTGGCAGCAATTACCTCCGCAGAAGAGGAGTTCCTAGAGGATGCTTACCAGGAAGTGTCACCAGCGACAGAGCATGCCCTCCGCGAACGGCCTGTTTCTCCTAGATCGCAGAGGGAGACCCCTTTGCGGATCGATTCAATTCAGCCACCAGCGTCACCAGCATCGGTGGTACAGTCACTTCCCTCGCCAACACTGTCATTACCTTTGCCGGAATCCCCACCACGACGTTCACTACATGGTGTACTCCCCTTTCGCTTTGGTAGAAGCCGCCGACCATCTACTACGCAATCACAGCCGGATACAGTTGTGTCAGTCGCTCGTACGCCAACAAGATCGCCACTCGGCCATGCCAGGCTGGACTCAACGAGAGCCAGCAGCATCGGTGACACCAGTAATAGCTCCACAATATCTCCCGCTGGCGACTCTACTGAAAGTTCCACTGGACTACGCGGAGGAGGTCGAGCGCGTGATGTCCGTGAACCGCCCAATGCTCCGTCTCCGTTGCATCACATGCTGAGACTAAGTTCGCCGGAACATGAAGAGCCTTCAGGCGATCCCACCAAGTCACCAACTACTCCCCGTGAAGACCAGCCTACACTCTACTTGGAAGGTTATTGGCATCACACTCCCCGGGGGGATGAGTATCGCATGCGTAAGAGCACTGAGGTAAGTTGTGATCGTGCGACATGCTTGTGAGACATACACTGATTTCGTGACTTCACCTTGACAGGACCGTTTCTGGAGACGACCACCACACAGTGAGCCGCGGCGGGTCAGTGGTCGTCAAGATTCTATCATGCGAAGTTTGTCTTCAGGATCCGCCCCGTCTCTTCTCACGAATCGAAGCCGACCCCCTTCTGGTCTTCCATTCGACGACGTATTCAGCACTTTACCAACGGATGAACCCCGGTCCAGACGGAACGCTTCAGATTTTACCGCTTCTTGCAACGACTATTATTCTACTTCATCAGACATCTTTCGTACTCCTGGTGGCTCGCTTCAGCCGGAGCAGACGAACTCAAGGCCACGACATTTTAGTAGCGATGCTTCAGGCGCCAGTGGACAATTCTCTTACTACGGCTCGCTTCCTCCTAGCAGGGGAGCTTCCAGCGGTGGTCCATCGATCGAAAACGACCTTTCTCGATCTCAGATGGACGGAGCGGTGGCTTCGAACGAAGACCATCGTCCCTTAGCACCTGCAGTTCCTTCCTCAGTCTCCAGACACAGTACAAATCGTCCGAATTCTTCAGGAAGCTCAATTCTCTCTTTCTCCGATAACATTGGCTCTGGTCCACATGGCGTCTCGCCACTACCTTCGATGCCATACACTCGCAATCAAGGCGACTCTACATCGTCTGATTACACAACCCAAAGGTCAGGCTACATCGTCGACGCAACTACAGCGGCAATGGAGGGTCTTGAATCGCCCCTTAATCCTTTCTCTGAGCACTATCAGCGTCAGCTGCAAGCTGCTCGAGCTCGAATGAATCCCTACACTTATCGGCCTCGCGCAGAAGGGCCACAAGCGCGTAGATCAAGTCAAGGTCATGGTGACCGGGCGAATCATTCACGCCATCCCCCACCTCTTCTTGATCAAAGAACGGGGTCTTCTCGGCAAGCTTACTATAGGGCGCAAGAATTCCAACAGTCTTTCGAGAATTTGGCGATAGATGAGTCAAAAAATCACGAATGGGGCTCTAATCTTCATGGCAGAGGTGGACGAGGCGATCGACACTCCCGCGAGGACCCTTCCAGTATGCCGACATCCAGCTCTGACGCTACTATGCGTGCTGGTGGAGTTCAGGCACAACGGGCTGCTTACGAACGCTTGCACAACTCTAGAATGGCAATGCAAGTCGAGACCAACATGAACCCCCTCCGTCATAGTATACCACAACCAACCATCACGCACGATGCACCGGGCCGGCGACACCACTTTACCGGTTTCCGCAACGAGGAACACAGGAACAGCCCGTTCAACACGTATCGACGTCCATCGCACAGTCAAATGGCGCACCCCTTGGGAGGACCTCGTGGTGGCGAGCCCGACGACATTTTCCAAGCCTGTAAGCCTCCTAGTATGAACTGCATATAAGATATAAACTGACCTCCCCACTCATTCAGCTTACCCCCAGTCCGCCAGCTCCGTCCCCCAACGTGCGTACCGCCCCATGCCTAGCGCCCGCTACCTCAACCCTCGACTCACTCGCGACAGTCCCTTGACGGCTCTCGCTCTAGACCAAGGTAGTGGTACGACAAGTCGACGCTCACTTGACCCACTTGTTCGGGCTACGACGATGGCACGTACGCATCGCCGTGTTCCACCTGAGCAGCGCGACCAGGAGAACGATGGGGATAGAGAGGCCATGGAAAGGGAGAGGGAGGGTATCAATAGTAGGTACGGGGATGAGGAAGGGGGAAGATCGAGGATGGATGAGACGCCGCCTAGAATTGGGAGGGTGGAGAGGAGGATGAGGGAAGGCGACAGGGATAGGGAGGGTGGAGTTAGAGATGTTTGATTAACGATGTTATAGTTCTGATGGATGGGATGGAACATGAGCTTTGGTTAGTGTAGAGTATTGTTTTAGATGGTTTATCCGAATAGAACTGCAAACAACGATTTACGTGTTTTGGATGCGCACGTGCAGTTGGGAGGTATAAAAGCGGTCTTCTGCTTCGACTGATGCTTACTCCCATCAATCAACATTCTATCTTCTACTTTCCCAAAAGAAAAACATACAAGCGCATGACGCTCCTCTTTTCCTCCGAAAATACGAAACGGGAGAATGTGCGAGTCACAAAAAACCCGACGCCCACGAAATGTTCCCTCTTTCTCCTGCCGCATATCAAGAACAACAAGATAATCAATGCACGAGAAGACTCGTGTCTGCGTGCTCTCGGAAATCCATGCGTTGCAGCATGTATGGATCGGCGAAAACTTTTTGACGTGAACCTACACTACGCTTGGAAACGCTATATAAACTCTTGCGGGGACCTCATCTTTCCACTTCCTCAAACCAGATTCAAAAACCTGTTCCCCGAAACAGAATACAGTATTGGCCGATGGATCTCGCCCTGCTTCGAGAAACAAGACAATCACTTTTCACATGTGTTTGGCGTTTCTGGAAAGCCAGTGCATTCTTATTATGGACGGCATCTTCTGATATCTGCTTTTCGAAATGTAATCGAAGACCGATCACTTTCACCCCATGCTGTCGAGACGCCCGTGGCTGTTACGTATATCTACCCTGGCTCGCCCCTTCTTCCTCAGCATCCTCAAACCAGGCCGTTTCTCCAAAGCGCGTGGGCTTCGTGCCATGGTCTGGCAACTATCTCTCAAAAATCAGAATGGACGAATTAATATTGTTTCTCGTCCGAAAGAATGTTCTACATGTTGAAAATACGCGCGATGGTCAACATGAGAGACTGTCACCGGTCAGTTTCACTGCTACATCCGATGATCGCACGTGCGAGGCAGTGTGTATAAAACTTCTCCTCGACCACTCCAGCATTTATTCGTCATATTCACCTCGTTGCACGATTGCCACAAAATCATACACGTGTCTACTATGATCTCTGTCTTTCTCCAAATCGCAGCCTCACTCACTGATAGCTGTGTGCTCTCAAAACCGGAACAACCCCCGCTATGATCTGGTCCGGAAAACGAGCATACCTGCTACTCCGAAGCGGTCAGATTCATGTTCTCTATTCCCACCTCCGACGTGCCGAAACACACCTGGAAAAGCCTTATGATCTTTTCTCTCCTTCAAAAACTTCAATACGAGGGGTTGATGCATGTGTTCCCCCAAAAGGTCATGGGTCAATGGAGCATGATTGGTCCTGGATCGCGAGCATAAAATCTACCTTGATGCGGTCTTGGCTCCGCTATCAATTCTTCCATTCATTTCAAAAAATTACAAGAAACGGACTACGACATTTTACATGGACTCCGCTCTTCTCTGGCATCTCCCGACATCTCAGTCATGAATATCTTTTCCCGATAGTGGACACAGGCCTAATTCATGACCTGCGAAGAGGAGAAATCAAAAGCTCATACCCGACCCTTTCCAATCTCTCTTGATCCTCTTACAGTCCTATATGGGCTTCCCGAAACCAAAAACACCCGATCAATTGCTCCTTGAGCTCTACTTTGTTCTAGAAGCCAGCATTTGTCACTCGATGTTTCTGTTCATCTGAAGGGCGATATCTTCAGACACCGTTTGCTTTCGAGTTGCGTGTACAAAGCAATTCTGAAATGATCCAACTCTTCGCTCTATGCTCCTATTCATTAAAGAAGTTTTCTCAAAGATCTGCGGCAGCGTCTGTATGAGGCCTGCTGTGCCCCAAAAGCCGTGGAAATGACTTCATGACCTTGTGCGTCCAGAAAACACCAATATGCTCAAAGATGCTCTTCTTTGGCACCATGTAGAAATCTCACGGTGATACGCTTCCTCATCTGGTTTTTTGTCTCTACCTTCTTTACTTGCTCTCCAAAAACCTCGAAATAGAGATGATGTGCCGCTGCTCATGGCGCCAGGCTCTCTGTAATACAGCTTCTTCCTTGAAGGCCTTTTGCGTCACTGATGTGTCACTTTGAGTTGCGGCTATAAATTCCACCTGCAGGCCTTCCACCACCTTCCCTTCATCTTTGCACTTCTTGTGCAGTTTACCAAAATGAGCAAGACACCGTTTCATGGCTCTCCCGTTCGTCTAAAACAGGTATACAAGTATATCATGACCGTTTGATCTGACTGCCAAGTCATAAAGCAGCACTTGTCTCTTTGCAAAACATACTACTTGTCCATCATGCGTTGTACCCGAAAACTCCTCTTCAAGTCGCATGAGATTACGGTCCGCTTTCCGCACGTCTTCACGACAGCGAAACGGCCATGAGCAAGCCCATGTTCTGCTCCTCTCCTTTGAAGAGTCTTAGTGTTCTTCCTCATGTGCTCACCACTTGCCAGGCGCGCAGAAGTCGGCGTGCAATCCACCATGGTCGCGAACAGATGCTATCCATCGCCATGTCGTGTTTTGACGTGGGCTACAAGTGAGATGAGTGCATCAAAAGCCCAATGGGCCTATTGCATGGCTTTGAGAATGCATATAAGTCCTTGCTTACCGGCTCCTTTCCTCCACTCAACACTTCACCTATCCTCTCAAAACAAGAAAATGTCAGCGACCAGTACGATGGTCTCCGGTCACCTCTAAAACGATTTGAGTAGCTATAATGGCTGAATTGCTGTCCAGTCCGATCATCATTCCAAGATCCTCGAAACCCTACGCGCTGTCGCCTTCTAAGCTCGTCCTCGAAAGTTCAGGCTCGGAGCGCTATGTCTGCGAAGTGAGGCGCAAGTGCTCTCAGGACTATAAATCCCAACGATGCCTACTCTTCTTGTTATCCTCCATAGGCGGAAGTTCTCTAGAAAGATTGGTCTAGTTGATGAATGTCTGAGTAGGGCCGCTTGTTTTCAATACGCCAAGAAAGGCCTTCATGTGTTATTCCTCGTCTCCTTAGAACGTAGCTTTGTCGACTGCCTAAAACTGTTAAAGACTATTCAGATAACATTGCCATTGGAAAAGTTTGATGGCGGCTGATCCAGAGCATGGCCGAGGACGATGACGTGTCTGTTTAAAATCACTCTCCGCACTCCAAGTCTTGATACATTCCGCCCTATGTTGTTTCTTCCAAAGTGCAACAAGGTCTGAGTCATGATTTGCTTCTGCCGCAATTGCTTGTACACCTCACACACGCACGTCATATGTGTGCGCCAAAAAGCCATGTTTTTACTCCGAACGCACGTCCCATGGACGGACGCATTGCGAAACTCTCACGAGCAATTATATCACTGCTTTCATGTTTTGTCCTGAGCACAGCACATGAAGCTCTCGCCGTCTCTTCAAACTCATAGAGTAGCGTACGATGTGGCCTGATGCAGGACCGGCGATACATTCCAAAGCAGACTGTGCAAGGAATGATACGTGTCGACACGTCACAATTCTTTTCTCGAAAGAGACGACAGCGCTTCATGTGCGGGGTCCCGCAATTGCAAAAGCCCGCGATCGTACAGGTCCGTGATCGTGAGTCCGCGGAAGTAACATGTAGATACGTGGCGAGGAAGGTCAGATGATGCTAGCACGTAATTGTCAGCTGTTGGTGGACTGCGCCTCTGTCGCATCGTGAGCCTCGGTGGTGCCGGTACGCTTCGGATCGATAACTTGCCATTGCAATGAGCCATGAATTGCGCGTCGCCAAGAAGCTCTCGTAAAGCAATCGCCTCTCGATACGTGTTGAACTGTTGCCTACTTGTTATGCGACGCTGCGGTTTGACGTCGGCGAGGCGGGGTCCGACGAGACGAAGAGAAGTCGATAACAAAGACTCATATGTGCATCTGCAGCATGGTCGTGTAAAGGCCAGAACTCAATGACGTGCTTTTGGGGGGGCCGCGACTCTTCTTGTGGCCACGACCTGCTGAAACCTCGAAGCGCTGAGAATTGGCAGTCGGAACATTGCACAGTCGCTTCCAACCGCCAGCCCTCAAACAGCGACAAAGCAGATCTCCCGCAGCCTTGCACAAGTAAATTGCGCAAGCAACCACGTACCGGGACAGCTCCAACGGCTGCGACATGGTCCGATGCTACCATATTTGGGTGATACGAGCGCTTCTGGTGGGCGGCACGCACGAACCCGGCCTCGATATAGCAGCCGCGGGGAATTGGCGACTAGTGAAGAGCCTCATCTGGCGCTTCGGCTAGGTAACCCATTTGGAGGGCTGTGGGATGCAGGGATACGAATTCGAGATTGATGAGGAGTTAGTTTGATCGCTTAGACGGAGAGACTGACAAAGGCAGGTGGTTGACTCCACGAGGAAGAATTGATGCCATCCAGTAGATCACATGTCTCGCTGGCCACGACCTTCTAGAATCGGCAGCGATGATCTGGAGGCATGATTGGCAAAGCGGGTGAGGCGGTGCAGCGGCTGTTGAGGAGGTCTCGAAACTGCGAGGCCTCGACATTGATTGGTACGCTTTAGTTGCATGAAGCCGGTCTGGTGCTTCCCGGCCGGGTGGCATGTCGAGTACAGCTGCCGGTGGTGGTGCGCTGTAGCATGGCAGAAGACGAACATGGCGTTGGTCGTGCTGGCTGTCATCTGTCCTCGCCATCCGCCTCGACCTCCGCCTTGCTCAAACAGGCTGGTCGTTGGACATGGCAAGAAACAGGTGTGTTGAAACAAATATGACTTGTTTGCAATGAGTGTCGGCCAATGGAAATGAGCTAAATCCCTGCGCATGACGGCGATCCATGGATCGTGGTGGAGATGCCCGAGCTCTGTCCACATTCTGGCCGAGTGGAGTCAAGATAGACACGCTGTCATGCGACTGACAGATGGCAGGGAGATGGTCAGTTCGGAGTTGATGCTGTATGCTGTGAATGCCGTGATTCTTGCCGTGATCCTATGCCACCCACTTGATGCAGATGGATAGGCAGTATACTGCTGGAAAGTGTAGTGGCGGCTGAGC